AGGATAGAAAACTTTTCTTTTTTTCCATTGGATGTGGTGGAAAATTTTGCAATTGTAAAAGTGACGGGAAGTAATGGTTGGAATATTGTGGTTAATGGGAACCTCCAAGATTGGGAAATTGAAGAATATGAAAACTTGCTGCTGTTTTTGGCCACCATTCGGCTCAACGACAAAAATGATAAATGCTCTGATATTTGAATAAAAATGACACCTTCTACCTTTTATAACTACCTAGATGGTCACAGAAGATTAAAGAGAATGGATTTTCCTACAAAAATAATTTGGAAAGTTAATACACCTCCTAGAATATCCTTCTTTGTTTGGGAAGTGACGAAAGAACGCATATTGACTATTGACAATCTCATGAAAAGAGGTATTATCCTAACGAACAGGTGCTTCATTTGCAAGAATAATGCTGAATCGTGCAACCACCTTTTGCTTTGGTGTCTGACCATTTACAATCTATAGACCATGGTCTATGGGCTCCTGGGTATTTGCTGGGTCATGACTGGTTCCATCAAAGATGAACTGAATGCTTGAAAATATTGTGCAAGAGAGATAAGAACTTCAGACTTATCCCTCTTACCATATTTAGGTTTTGAATGGAAAGAATATATTTTTGGCAACATAAAAAATAGATGGTTTCACTATTCTGGTTCCATTATTCTGGAACATAACCTTGTTAACTCTAATGATTTTGGTTTCATTATAGATATGCTTATTGACTTGTAAATTTTTTGTACATGAGTGGCGCCTCCTTAGCATCGGCACATCAATATACCTATTACACTTTTATCTCAAAAAAAAGTGACAGACAGGAGGGATAGAAGTTGAACTATAATAGTGTAAAATTAATAGAAGGTAGGGACTCTAATACGAACTGATGCATGATGAGTAACGAGGAAACTAAGTTGTCTTATGGAAAGTTGAGAAATAGAGAAAATTTAGGTGAGAAACAAAAGAATAAATGTAGGCTAGAGGAAATTAAAGATCAAAGATTTTTATAGAGAGTAACTATCTAAACAAGGTAACTTAGATAAAACAATAATAAGAAGAATGAACATAAAGAGAATAGCTATTAACCTTCTTAAATTCATCATCATCATCTATCTTCTTTGTCGGTACTAATTATCTTTTGCATTTTTTTTAAAATAGAAAAGTATAGTATTGAAGGCATCAAGGAATGTAACCTGTATATAAAAGTATTTATACGTCAATAAAAATATCAATAAGGTCCCCTAAGTTCTTCCAAGGATAAAGTGGATAATCTTTAATAAAAAAGTCTAAAATTTGGAATCACATATCCTTTATGCAATCAAAAGATAAAACAATACCCTCGAAGGGTCTCTTATTCCTTACTTTCGAAATAGCCCAAACATAGCCAAAGAGATAAGACTAAGCTGTCTATTGTAATCCTTAGCATTACGAATACCAAGCCATGCCCAAAGTTCATCTTGACTGTATTAGCCACAAACCCAACTAATCCATAACGAACTATGAGCCAAACTCCACTTTCTATAGGACTTCGGGCATGAAAACAGCAGATGGGTAGTTGTCTTTGCCACTAGTTTGCACATGTAGCACCCATTTACAATCACCTACCTTTTTTAATGAGGTTGTCAGGAGTTAAGATACAACCTCTTGCCACCTCCCAAGTAAAAAAAGCCATTCTTGATGAAGATTTAATCTTCCAAATTAGGTTTCAGGAGAAGTCATCCTCATTCCTATCGCTCCCTGTCAAAAGGGCATAATAGGACTTAACCGGAAGACACCCCTGCGTTGATCTTTCACATAGGCTCATTCAAGCTTTTGATGGGCCCACATGTGTCAATAACATCAAGCTGATGCACTCACGTATCTCTCAATTATTGAGGTTTCTTGTCAAACCCACTACCCATGGTCATATCTTATCTTCAAAGTAATACAATTATGAAACTCTTCCCTTCCCATTCCATTTCTCTTCTAAAGACTCACCCCATAAGGGCATCTAGGTTATGTGAAAAAAGGATTATGTAAAGATTATTCATTTGGCTATTTTTTGGGTCTTATATAAGGAAAGAAATAGTAGGGCTTTTGATAGTAAAGAGGTGGAGAATAGTATGCTTAAAGATAGATAGTTACACTATTTTGGATCTATCTTATTAGGTCATGACATTGTTAGGATGGAAGATTTTGGGCATGTCATTGATATCTCAATACAATTGTAAATGTTTTGTATATGGGTGATGCTCCTTTTAGCATTTTGTGAATAATATCTTTTTTATTTTTTTATTTCAAAAAAAAAAAAATGAAAGCAAGAGTTCAAGAGGAAAGAAAGTGGAGCCATGTTTAAGAGAGACCAATAGTAGAAGTTGGATATGTTCAATATTTGAAATCATAGTTTGATAAGAATACATTAACATCAAATAGAAACTTGACCCAAAGCCATAAAGTGTGTGCTTGTGGGATACTTGTCCACACAAAAAGGCTATAAATGTAGCATTTGTTATGTATTTGTGAATGTAGCATTTGTTGAAACTAGATCCTACTTCAGTTAATCTTATCTTCAAGGACAGCCAATATCTAAAGATAGAGACTTCTTTTATTTGATATTCCATTGCATTTACACCACAGCCTCCACCTTCTACACCACCAAAAGATGCCTCTCCTCAGTTATCCCAAAACTCGAATAATGAATTTACACCAGTAATTGTACATGACCTAAGATTCTCTTTGGTCTATTTAAAAAGGAAGCTTGTGGATCTTGAACCAACGTAAGTTCAAGCATTTGAATCAAGTTCTAGGAATGAGGTAACTTTTGAAAATATTTTTCCTTTTATACTAATACACCTATTACAATCTGAAAGGAGATTAGGAAATGCACAAAACACCCACTCTCTTTGATTTTAAATTATGTCATTTGACAGGTATTTTCTATCTTAGAAAAAATTTCTCATGAGCTTACGTACAATGAATATTCCTAATGCAGTATCTGAAACATTATCATGTGGAAAATAAAAAAATGTTATGAATGTTGAAATGGAAGCATTAAAAGAAAACCAAACATGGGAAGTGGTGGACCTACCTAATGTAAAGAGACCTGTGGAATGCAAATGAATATTTACAATAAAGTACAATTCTGATGATGCTATAGAGAGACACAAAGCAAGATTAATGGTTAAGGGATATATACAAACTTATGAGATAGACTATTGGTAGGCCTTTGCATCTCCTACCAAGATGGACAGAGTCTGAGTCCTATTGTCTCTAACTGTCGACTGTATTTCCCAAATTTAACAATTTGATATGAAAAATATTTTTCTACATTGAGACCTCCAAGTGAAAATTTATATGAAATCCACCAGAATTCACAAAAAATATAGAAGTAAATAAAGTTTGCAAATTAAGAAAGGCTCTTTAAGAGCTCAAACAACCACCAACACACAGTTTTAAAGGTTTATAAAGATGATTTTGGCAAAGGGATATATATGAAGTCATGGAAACCATAGTTTATTTATTAAGCACTTAGATTCAGGGGGAGTTACAACTCTTTTTGTGTATGTCGATGTCATTATTGTGACAAGTGATGATGAAAAAGAAAGAACAGTGCTCAAATAGTGTCTTAGCCAAAGAGCTCGAAATTAAAGAGCTGACATAAAAATCTGCTAGCACACTAAATTATCTCACCATAAATTAGGATTAGTAGAGGAAGAAACAATTGTCAATAAGGATATCAAGCGCTTAGATTCAGGGGTAGTTACAGTCATTATTGTGATAAGTGATGATGAAAAAGAAAGAATATTGCTCAAGTAGTGCCATAGCCAAAGAGCTTGAAATTAAAGAGCTGACGTAAAAATTTGCTAGAACACCAAGTGATCCCAACTATAAACTGGGATAATAGAGGAGGAAATAGCCGTCAATAAAAATATTTACTAGAGACTAGGTGTGAGACTTATTTATCACATATAAGACCAGATATTATTTATGCAGTAAAAGTAATAAGTCAATTTGTACACAATCTCAAAGAAATATATTTACATACAACATACTAAGAGCTACCTTATCTGAAGGGAATGCTAGTAAAGGACTTCATGTTCAGAAAGAATAATATGTTACTCCCGAATTATTAATGGATAAAAGATCCATTGCAGGCTATTGCACACTCCTCGAAGAAAATTTAGTCACATAGAGAAGTAAGAAACAGAATATGATGACAAGATGTAGTGTGAATCATAATTTTGGATAGTGGCTCAAGGAGTCTGTGAGTTGCTATGGTTGAAGATTCTAAAAGATCTAAGGATAAGTTAGATGGTCCAATGAGACTCTATCATGACAACAAGTTAAGAATCAGTATTGCTCATAATCCAGTATAGTATGACAGGATAAATTGTATTGAAATTGGCAGATGTTTTATCAAAGAGAAGCTAGATAGCGATTTAATATGTACATCATGCATATGTACCAAATCTTAAGTTGCAGATATACGTATTAAGGATTTGAACAATTCAACGTTCTAGACTATCATTGCTAAGATGGGAATGAACAATGTCTATTCTCTAGTTTGAGGAGGGTATTGGAAAGTGTATATGTGTAATTTAGATACAAGGGTATACGTATAATAGTAAAATACTGCTACGTAAGTAATTTTAGGGTTTCCTTACTTATACTTAAAGTTGTGTAGATATAGGATCTTGCTATTCAATAATATTTACATCATTTTGTTCTTCAACAGTTTATAACAAGTTCTATTTTAAGTAGAAGAACTAAGATCTAGTTGTATATAGTGATTATATCTTATGATGTTTATCTTTTTATAAATAATTTGCAGGCATACTGTGTGTATATAATTCTATTTTGATTTTCTTTTGCAATTGTTTTAATGGTCATCCATGTCCATACATGTTTATGACTGCCATATCAATTTGTCTTTCCATGTTTTTACATCATTCGGATCTATTTGGGGGTGTATCACACACTTATAGACACACATTAGGATTCAGAAATTTGGTGATGCATCATCAATGTTTTACGCTTTATCTCTAATAAAATTCTTCTCATCAGGTCTTCGTCCAAGGGATATCCGGACTGTTGATCCATCTTTGTTTCTGACAAACTCAATGCCCTCTTTGCTGGTGTTCTTCCAACTTCCTTATACCATTTCATTGTAGTGTTTGTTGATATTATATTCTCTACTGTTTACTTGTATCAGGATATGTTTTGCCTATGATAATGTATATTAGTGTATCACACACTTGTATTAGGATATGTTTACTTGTATTAGAAACCTACGAATTAGTTTTATCCCATCCATATCACTTTCAAACTCACAACCATCATTTTATGTTGCTTGCTACTCTAATTACAACCAACTCTTGTTCTAATTGTAGGTTCGTGAGCATGCCATTCTGCTAAACTTGGGATCCTTACGAGCAATAGCGATGCAAGAGCATGTACTTATCTTTGATTATAATCGGTATTCCTAGTTTTAATCTTTTTCTTTTCTTTTAAACAAATTTTATTAATTGTTTATATACTTTCTTTTCCAAACTGAACTTGATCTCATTTGCTAATTGTAGGAAAGGAGGAAAAGCTTTTCTAGATTCATTGCTGCCTCGACTGAACCCCAGAAATACGAATGGAGGGCCATGCATGCCATTCGAGCTTGAGGTTAGCTTTTACTTGTTGAAACATGGTGGTTATTTCCTCATAGTAGCAGCGGTCTAAAATTAATTATAATTAAACTTCAGTTACTATTGCACGTCTATATTAGAGGGACAGAATTAGGACTCTGGGACGGAGGTTTTTAGTTTTGGACAGATGAGAAAGAGTGGGATTAGTAAAGATGGTTTGGGTTGTGATAAGGTAGCTGGTATCCACACTCCTCCCTATTGTCTGAGTTGCAGTAAGTACTTCTCAGAAGCAATTGATGAATGGTATGAAACTTAATGCTCTCTATTTATGTAAGAAAGGGGATAAAATGTCTAGACATTTAAATAAAGAAACAAAATATATTATTGTCATAAATCCGGCTAATGCTTGTTGAGATGGCGCATAGTAGCAATTAATTATTTAGGATTTTCTCTTATTCACAAAATATATTATTTAGGAATTATTTTATGTTTTCCTAATTTGTTATATTTCTTTACCTACTTTTGATAGTATTAGTATTTTACTAATTAGTTTTCTTAGTTTGGTCCTAATTGCTACTCCATTGAAGTACCTCTTTAGTCTTCTTTTAGAGCATTTTTTTGTCAATAGAAATTATGCTAAGAATTTCCTCGTGATCTTGATGGTGTGATTCGATCAATTCAGTTGTGATAATTAAGAAAAATAGATAGATATGATATCTAGGTTTTTTCTTGAATTTCCAGGTGGACAAATTAACCTTAATTTATCCAACACCAGTTGGTATGAAAGCCAAAAATTTCAACACACAAAGTCTCAAAACCTCACTCCAAACAGATCCCATCCATCTAAGTAAAAAAGGAAATACAATTAGGTCTTATCCTCTCGGCTACTTCTTGGGTTAAATCGAAAGAGAGAAATTGGGGAGATTTCAAAGGTACAGAATTGTGTTTTGTTGATGGTATTAAGAATACCTAATTCCAAACCCTAGGCTTTTTGATTAAGGATCATCTTCTTTATTTTTGTGAGGAATTAGGAAAGTTGATTGAAATTTTAACTGATATGTATATTTTTGTATATGAGTTGTGTCCCTTGATACTTATAATATATTATACTTTTTCTTTCAAAAAATAGAAGAAGATAACTCCATCCTAGTTTTATTGAGGCTTGAGAGAGCCTGTTATTGGGATTCCTTGGTTTAAGAGTACATCATCTTAGACCACATTTTATCTAAAAATTATTAGCATCACATGCTTATGACATGCCGTATTGGAACTAAATACGTACCATTTCCATTTATTATGATCAAAAGCTATCCACTGTCAAAGAAATACCAATTTTTCATCTCTCTTTTCCTCCCCCGCCACCCTCTGGTTCTGAGTATGGAATTAAACATTATGATATAATGCTTTTTGACTTCATACTTTCTGAATGACCAGGAACTTTTTTGAATTTGTTGCCACTTGCTGACCTCCAAACTCAGTCTTTCCTCAAACCACATTTTTTGAAGAATTTTCCTGAAACTACTTAGCACAGTCAAAATTAACTACCGGGATGTTTAAGCAGACACTCTTCCTTTCCAAGGACAATAAGGAGACAACTACTACCTTTGCACTAAACTTTGTGTCAATAATGAAAGATTATAGCCTTAAGATTAATGCGCTCGTGCATTTGATGATAAAATATTGTTAATTTTATGAGAAATTCTATCAGACTTCTAGTATTTCTATTTTGCTTTTCTGTTATTATTTTCAATGATTTTTATACTCTATATTTCATTGTCTCTCTCCATTTTAAGGACCTTTTCCTTTCTAGGTCGTTGAAGCCGCATTGCTTTCGCGAACACAGCGCTTGGAGCAGAGACTTATGGATTTAGAACCCCGTGTGAGTATGGAAAAATAGTGAAAACATTTCAGTTAGTTTTCTTTACCTTTCTCCTTCTATCCAACTTGGCTTTTTTTTTCTTTTTTCTGGTAGACTTTATAATCATAATTTGTAGTGGACTGAAGCTGCAATTTGACAAGCTCGTAAGCATTTGTTTACTGCTTGTGATGCTAGTGCAATCCATCTGTCTTCTCAGACTTTCGAATATCTTCTAATTTCGGAAAGCTAGGAACTTATTTTTTCTTTTCTGAGAACTGCTTTCTGTGGTGGTAGAATGCTTTATGTAATTTCTCTAGGCATTTAGATGCCTCAAACCTTTGAGAAGCATTATGGAGCATGGGAAAGTTTTGTTTTGAAACTTATTCATTATATTATCTTATGTCGAAAATAAATCTCTCCTCTATGTTTGTTGTTTACTAGTACAATGTTATTCTAGGATTATATCAGAATTACTGTTGTTACCATAAAACTTTCAATTTCTCTGGAAGGAACTCATCCCAACTCGTCAAAATCGTTGTCAACGAGTTTTCACATTGGGTTAAATTCACCCAGTAATCTGTTTTTTTTTTTGTAAATTCATTTTGCCTAGTTAATAAAAAAAGAAACACCGATACTCCATGATTAATTTCTTTCAATGAATAAGGATTGTGTCTTTTGACACACATTTTGATGTATTTTTACATTGGACCTCAGATTCTAATCTGCAAGTTTCCTCATGGTTATGTTCTTTAAGTCATCTATGCTTGCTTTAGGTTCAAGCTCTCCTTGAAATTTTGCCCAATCGATTAACTGCTGACATATTGGAGCAACTTCGAATTAGCAAACAAATGCTGGTAATACATGGCGGATTCATTTAGTTATAAAGTTGTAGGTTTTAATTGGACACTGAAATTCCAGTTATCAATTGTCATTTTTCATTTTTTTTCCCATGGAGGTTGAGTTGGGTTCAAGGGCCGGAGCTCTTAGACAAATGCTTCTTGATCTTTTGGAGGATCCACATGAAATACGCCGTATTTGTATTATGGGAAGAAACTGTACACTTAAAAAGGGGAATGATGATGTGGAATGCTCTGTGCCATTAGAGAAACAGATTGCTGATGGTAAGCAAGATATACAAGGGAATGATATTAAAAATTATTTTTTAATAGTAAAAGAAATTTGATTGATGCAGAAATGGGAAACACAACCTAGGGGAGGAAGGTTTCCTCCAGAAAGTACAAAACATGGAGGAAAACAAGAAACTGCACATGCCCCAAGAGTAGCTAATGACACGATACAATCCCAAATATAAATTAAGACTATGTTTACAAATAATGAAATTTGTTTACGAAATTGATCTGGGATTATATGTTCATTTTACTATTAGATAATGAAGATCCTTTACAGTTCTCAAACAATTCAAAGTGAAATTGAGATAACATATTTCACATTCCACTAGTTATGGTCAAATTTAGATATATTATCTTACTTTCATTTTGAATTGTCTAAGAATTCAAATTCCTTACTTTGTAAAAGGTTTAAATAATCTCATAGTCGAAATGAATGTAGATTTTAAAATAAATTCCAAAAGCAAAGTTTATTTGTTCCAAACATAGCCTACTATAATAAGAATGCTGATAGAAAATTATAGTGTTATCTCTTCAAAGCACCCAAATACCATCTACAATATGTGGAATGCTCCATTCTCCTCCAAAGCCAAAAATAATATTTAAAAATTTTCAAGCTTAATTGGCTTTGATTTGGTGAATTGCAGAAGAAGAGGAAGAAATTGAGATGCTTTTGGAAAATTACCTTCAAAGGTTTACCCCTACTCAATTTTCTAGATCGCACAAATATATCTGATATATATGGTGTATATTTCTTGTACATTATGAATGACAGGAACGGAAGTATATCTACTTAGCTTATTTAGCACTTTGTTTTAAATTCACTACTTGTCTTGATGTGATAGTCTTAGCTATTTGCATTTTCTCAGAGGTTTTTCTTTTTTCAGAAGATTGAAGTTTATCAATGGCAAACATTCTGCAAATGATTAATTAGTCACTACTTACCTCAAGGACAATAATTTGACACGTTTTTGCACACGCTACATGTCTGCGTTCTGTAAGCATGTCTTATGTTTATCTGTAGGCAATAAAAAGCTTCAAATAAGATGTTGCATAAATATCTGCTACACAAATTATTTCTATAACATATGTCTCCCTCTTTCCAGTTCTTCTCTTAACTTTCCTTGCCAAAATTAAAAAAAAGAAAAAAAGAAAAAATGATCTCCCGCCAAAAGGAATTAATGATCTTGCTTTTGTAAAATAGCATATCTGCATTGCACTAGCATATTTGTTTTCAATGGAGTGCCAGTAAGGTATTTGTTGCTTGTTTGGGATAATTGGAACCGATAGTTATTGAAACTAATAGACTAATTCAACTGTTTGCTTTAAATTTAAACTTACTTACTTCCTTTCATAAACTAATCACATCCATTGTTCATGAAGTAGCACATTGTTTATCTTATCTATGGCAAAATTACAATATGGTTTCCAGAAATTTCTCATATATTGTTTGTGTGTGTGATCACTACTATGAGAATTGTGTTTCTTCTGTTTTAAGAACATCAAGGTACTTCTTAAACAGTAGTGGGGAAAAGGAATTAATTGCATGTATATATTTTTGGTCTTTCTGTAACAGGCTTATTTAACTAGAATTTAGCTTATTTAAATAGATCCTTATTATGCTAGAATATCCCATAAATCATGGGATCCCAAAATAATTAAGTTTTCTTTTCTATAGCTAGGGTGGTTGTAGATACATGTGTAATTTTTGTGTATTGTAAGAGAATCTAATTCTTCTGCATGTTGTTAAAGACAGAGGTCTAGTGTCCGAATATTAATAGCACCATTTCGATTAAAAATTAACTCACACAAGGTTTGGAGAGGCTGTGTATGATTCAAGCTTTCAACTTGATGAGTTTATGTATGTAAGAAACGTATTAGAATATAAAATAATTGATTGGATCATTTCCTATCACTTTAAACTTTTAGAATGATCAGTTCAATCATTATCTTACATTCTAATTTGTTCGCCAAGCATAAGCTCACCAGGTTGAAAACATGAGTCATACACAGACACTACTAGACCTTGTGCAAGTTAATTTTTAATAGAAATTATATTAACAGGATTTGAATACAAGACAAAAGTATGATACCCTAAAACTGCTAGCTTTTCATAACCGATGATCCTCCTAGCCAACCTTCATCGTTGTTCACTCCATAGCACCAGCTAGTCTTCACACCAGCAGTGCACAAATTTTCTACACAGCCCACACAAACCCACTGTGAACCGACCAGCTGTGCACTAGCTGCTCTCTGAGCCCTGAGCTTCAGTCAAGCTACACTACAACCAGAAAATAGGCCTTCATCGTTGATAGTCCTACGCCCGCAACTAGCTTTCATAGCTGTTGGCTCCTCTATTTCACGAAACCTACCTATATCCTCTCTGTGGAAGATGTTGGAGGTTCCAAAATCTGAAAATCCAACACAATCAGAGGAGATTATTTGACCCCAATAACCGGAGAATTTGCGAACCATCCAGGCAGCATATAGACTGGATGGAAATACTATCTTAAATGGTCTCAACTTGTACATATAATGTTAAAAGGAGAAGATTAGCCATCTCATTGCTACGGGACCAAAAACAGAAGATCCTCGATTTAAAATGTGGGATGAAGAAGAATCTATTATTATGGCATGGTTATGGAATTCGATGACACCCGAGATTAGTGTATGTTCTTCACTACTGCCAAGTATAATTGGGACTCATTTCAACAGACTTGCTCCAAGGCTTGAGATGCGACCTCAGTATATGGGACCAAGGTAAAGGTAGTGGCTGCAAAATAAGGAAATCGAACTGTTATTGATTATTCTAATCAATTAAAGTCCTTGTGATAAGAACTTGATCACTATAGGTGATAAATACCAAATATCTTGAAGATGTTGTTCTAAGGGATTTATTGGACAGATTGTATGACTTTCTCGTTCGACTTAATACAAAGTTGGGTCAAGTAAGAATACAAATCATTAGTAAGCTGGAAGTCCCGTGTTTTAACGAGGTGGTGGCACTAATTTGAGACAAACAAAGTAAAAGAAAGCATGGACAACTCTGTTGTGGTGACTAGTGGATGGCAAAAAACTAATTGACAGAACATCAGCTTTAGATGATAAAAAACCATGTCAACCAAAAGCTCAAACCAGTGATAGATTGTGTTGCAATTATTGTAAGAAAGTACCGTTAGGGAATGATGTTGGAAGCTTCATGAAAACCTACAAGCTATAAGACTAGGGACAGAAAGGAGAACAAGAAATAAATAATTGGTAGACCCACATTACCATGACAGCAATAAGATGACATAAAAACACAAGAGTCAGGTGGTTTGAACCGTGAAGAGATTGAGAGAGTGAGATCTCTTATTAACAATTTGCACAAACCTTTAGGTACTTACTTATTGGTATATTACCGGTTTCGTCAAGAACACATGTGGGTAGGCGGTTAATAATATAGGTGGCAGTAAGGATGGCTTTGTCCCAGTATTGTTTTGGGATGTTGTTTTAAAAGAGAAAAGCTCTCGTTGTGGTTAAAAGATGACTATTCTTGTGTTTCGCTGCTCCGTTTTGTTGTGGAGTGCGAACACAGGAAGATTCATGAAGGATTCAATATAATGGAATATGAGAAAAGTGTATGATTGAAAAAATATTTGGCATTTTTCAGTACGAAATTTCTCTACAGATGTTCCAGATTGGGTTTTTATCATATTGTAAAATTGAGATATAATATGACTGACATAACATTTGACTTTAAATAAAAACAATTAAGCAATTTTAATGCAAGTGTTAGTATATAACACAAACCATCAAATCCTAAAAATATTAGATATATGAAACGGTCACCAAATATCACTATGAATTAATTAATGAAACTAAATTTTGTTTATTAATAATGAGAAATATAGCACAATTATGTTTTGCAAACTTATAAATATCACAGTATAAATTTCTATATTCGGGATTCTTAAATATTAAGAGAAATATCACTTTTAAAATTGAAAATGATGAGTGTCCAAGTCTTTTATGACGAAACTAAATCTTACATGTGAGATAGTAGTAATAGCAGAGAAGAATCTCTCATGTGCATCCAAATAGTAGAATCCATTTGTCTTTAGTGCATCCAATTATCCTTCCTGAATTCTTGTTCTAAAAGTCTTAGTAAAAAAAGATAAATATTACTTTGCAATTCAACTTCTATTATAATTTATTTACTGACATAAGATTATTATAAATATATAATACATTTTTTCAGGAAAATAGTAGGGGTAAGCTTAATGTTATCATTGCTTGCAATACTATTGAGGGAACTATCTGTGGTAATAATCTTTTCATTACTTGGATATGGAATATATGTGTAAAAATATTTAGAAGTATTGATCATATGATTTGTGACTCCTAAGTTTATATTCCAATAATTTTCAAATAATTTATCTTAGACATTTGATTCCTGTAAGGTAGAAATTGTAGTTGAGTGTATCAATATATCTGTACCTGTTTGTTTTTCTAGGGACTCAAGTGTGTTCTTAGTATTTCAATCTCCACTTTGAAATTAATAAGATATGAAATTGTTGTGTTGGGATTTACTCCAAGAACTTGGAGTGTACTCTCCAATATCTTTTAGAAATTGACTAGTAATTAATTATCGAAAAAAAAAATTACTAAAAACATTTTACCCAGAACATTTGACTGCATGAGATCTTTCGCTTCTGGTCACCTTGAAGGTGGTAGAGTGTCTCTGAAGTTACCGTTGTTACTAATGGTGGTGACTATCAATTGCAAGGAGCAGTGGCTAGTCATAGCAAATCGGGAGATGGGCCTAGTGAGTGGTGGTTGCTAGGAGCAACTACTACTTCTAGGGCTGATTATGAAAGCCAGCTAGTGGTGGAGGTGGCTGGTCCTTTGATGGCCGACGACATGAGGGCGGTGGCTGACTATAAAAGCTGGCTTCTTTTTGGTTTTTTTTTTTGGCAATAAAGATTGAGTAGGATTTATAAAAAAAAAAGTTTAGAAATTTCTTAATCTGAAACTCTGATACTATGTTAAACATGATTTTGTTATTGATGTTTATTTCATTGAATATTATAGTTCTGCATATATATTTTTCAAGACGAAAAAGAAAATAAATAGTTAATTACAATTAATTGCAAAGGTGTAATGGTCAAACTTTTTTCCTTTCTTGCACCCTGATTTGTTTTTTTTTTAAATCTTGATGTATTTTATCTCTAATATCCTGATTTACTTTTTATTTAAAACTTTTATTTTATTTTTTCTTTAATATTATGATTTTTTTCCTCTTTAACAAATGGTATAAAAAACATCTCTCCATAACAGTAACAATAACTGTTACGTTTGCCTTTTTGTGGATATTGGTAAACCCCCTTCTGTATTCTTTGGTAGGAACTATTTTTGAGTGTTTATCATTATTGGCAGTAGGTGAGGGTGTCTTTGGAGTATAAGGTGGATGCTGTTATTTTAAGCTAGAGTTTAGGTTATTTTGTGGGTTAGTAGCTTGCTGGCTGTTCGTGTTTCCACTGGTTGTTCTTGCCATAAGGCGAGGTTTATTCATCCTCACCACAAGTCTCAATTCTTCCTTCAACTCACAAATAAAGTTAGATATAAAATACTTCTATGATAATTCCAATTTTTTCAAGGGTAAGAGAGATCTCATATCTTCAAACGTTTCTCGGTAATTGATCACTTTACCTTCTAACTCCCTAAACCTAATACTGTTCCTCTATAAATATATTTCGTTATAATGTGAATTTACCAAATCATGAAACCATATTTTTGTCTTATCTCCTAGGTACATGGCTCCCATTTCTACCTTATTTGCATTAGGTATGTTATACACACTAAAGTATTTCAAGTATCTCCTCATTTATCTCTTAGGTACATAGACCTTGAGATATTGTTCTATATTCTGTTTCAGCATTAGAATGGACAATTATACTCTGCTTTTTGGTTTTCTATATAATCAAATTGCCTCTAACGAGTGTGCAGTACTACTGGTGGTTGACTTTTATCATTCAGAGATTCAGCCAATTGGCATCTGTAAATATTTTTGTTTTAAGGTGGTCATTTTTGGAAAAAAGTAAACTTTTTCCTGGTGCAAATTTCAAATATCGTAGTATTCGAAAGACGACATGTAAATGAATCTCGCGAGGATCATGTATGTACTTACTCATCAGACTAACTGCATATGCTATATGTAGTCTGCTATGTAGGAGATAAATGAGTATTCCAACTAATTTCTGATACCTTCTCATGTTAATTGATGTACCACTGCCTGTTTGTAATTTGTGATTACTTTTAATAGGAGTTTCGGCTGGCTTGTAACCCATCATATCAATTTCTTCTAGTAAGTTTAGGATATACTTTCTTTGAAAAATGAAGATTACTTCATTAGATCTGTCAACCTCAATTCTCAGGCAGTACTACAATTTTTTTAGATAATTGATTTCAAATTCTTGAGTAAGAAGTCCTTTTAATCGAGTCATCTCTTTTATATCATCTTCAGTCACTACAATATCATCTACATAAACTATAAAAAAAAGTGATCATACCCTCACAATGTTGATAAATACAGTATGATCAATATTGTTTTGCTAATATCTAAAAGAAATCATAACTATTTTGAACATTTCAAACTATGCTCTTGGAGACTGCTTCAGTTCATATAAGACCTTTAATTTGCAAACCTTCTCTTGTGTTCTTTCATCTTCAAATGCGGGTAGAATTTGCATGTATACTTCTTCCTCTAAGTCTCCATGAAAAAATGTATTTTTTACATCAAACTGATGTAAGTCCCAATCAAGATTAACAGTGCAGGATAATAATATTCTGATTGTGTTCATTTTGCAATAGGTGTAAAGGTTTTCTGGTAACCTACTTCATAGGTCTGAGTAAATCCTTAAATCGCTAGTTTCGCTTTGTATCTTTCAATTGACCAATTTGTTTTGTGTATTATAGTGAATACCCACTTACAACCAACCATCTTCTTTCCTTGTGGAGTTGAAACAAGCTCTCATGTTTCATTTTTTGCCAATGCTTTCATTTCTTCAATTATTACTTCCTTTCATTTGGGATCTCCTAAAGATTCTCTCAAATCCTGTGGAATAGATATAG